TTTTGAGAAGGCACCATACTGCCTTTCATAGTGGTTGCACCATTTTACATGAGCACCAATTGTGATTAAGGGTTTCAAAAGAAAACAACATATAGCATCACAACAAGATAAAGGTAAACAACCCAATTGCAAAATGGGCACAGAATCTGAACAGACAATTGACCAAAGAAGACATTCAGATGGCCAACAAGCATATGAAGAAATGTTCAAAATCCCTAAGAGAGATGCAAATCAAAGCAACTATGAGAAATCATCTCAGCCCAGTAAGAATAGCAAAATTTAAGAACAGGAAACATCAAATGCTGGCGAGGTTGCGAAGAAACTGGAACCCTTATTCACTGTTAGTGGGAGTGTAAAATGGTGCAACAACTGTGACCTTGATATCCACATCTGAGGCATTACTACCAAGCATGAGTCTCACCTGGAACATTTCATCCTGTATAGATAGCATGTGCTTTTAAAAATTGAAGTAAATAAATTTTTTTGTTGTGATTATTTGCAAGGAAATTTATGGCATACCAATGAATGGCTAAGTTGGAGCTGTAAATTAACCTTATAATGTCATTTACAGATTGATGAACTTTAAAAAGGAAGAAACTCAGCAGAAAGTTTAGTGAAGTAGTTACGTGAAGAAAGAGCCAAACTCAAAACCTCAAGTTCATTCTTTGTCCCTTTTTTCCTTCATGTATGATGTTTGAAAAGTTTTTGGCATGAGAGAGAACAGATAACTTATTTGAAAATGGATGTTGTTGTTGTTGTTGTTGTTGTTGTTGTTGTTAGGTGCCAGCAAGTCAGTTCCAGCCACAGAGACCCTGTGTGCACTGGAGGAGACACTGCCTGGTCCAGCACCATCCCCACAGTCACTCTTGTCCGAGCCCATCGCAGCCACTGTGTCAGTTCATCTCATTGAAGATTTTCTTCTTAACTGACCTTCTACTTTGTCGAGCGTGATATCTTAGCTCTAGTGGCCTAGTGGTAAGAAACTGCACTGCACTCCCAAAGGGTTGAGTCCACCAGCTGCTCTGCAGGAGAAGGATGGCTAATCTCTTCCTGTGCAGTTGATTGCCTCTGAAAACCAGCTGGGGGGTCAGCTATGAGTTGGTTCCGACGTGACAGCACACAACAACAACATAACAAATCCCATAAGTGGATGGATTGAAAAATTGACATTTATTCTGTCCAATTTAGAAAGGTAGAAGCCCAAATTCAGGGTGCTCTAGGGGAGCTCTGGTGGCCTAGTCGTAAGGAGCTGCACTGCCAACTCAGAGGCAGATAGTTCAAATACATTTGCTCTTCTGAGGGAGGAAAATGAGCCATCTCCTCCTGTGTGATTTACAGCCTCTGAAAACCTACGGGAGGTTCAGCTACAGGTCCCTTTAACTACACAACGCATAACCACGAACAACAGCTCTAGGGGGAGGCTTTCTCCCTGTGTTTGCTCTGGGACAAGGCCCTTGTCTCCTTTCAGCATCCCTGGGCCTGGCTTTCTCTGGAGATCTTTATGTCTTTTGACATCCAGCTTCTCCTGGGTCTAAGAGATAGTGCAGAGACTCTGGGTCTGAGGGTGCTTTCCACTCCACGCTTGACTTTCTTGGTGAGAATTGCATCTATTTCTCTAATCGTTTCTCTTTTCTCATCTCTCTTTCAAGATAAATAGCTCTCATGGAGTGTGTTACATGTTGTCCTCTTAACCAAAGGCCAGTCATTCAAATCCACCAGCTGCTCTCGGGGAGAAAGATGAACTGTCTCCTCTCATAAAAATTTACAGTTTCTGAAGCATTTGAGGGCTCGCTATGAGTCAGAATCAACTCAAGGGCATTAGGTTTGGTTTTTCAGGGAGTTCTATGTTAATTCTCTCTACTTCTGTGTAGGCCACACCTTCAGGAAACTCCTCTTCCATCAGATCACAGATGACCTGCGGAAGGGTATTATTGCATGATACTCCAGTCCCGATAACTGTTTGGCTCATCATATAAAATCACATCATAGAGGATGATTACATCATTATACAACTATCAGATTATGTTGGTGTTTTTGGTAGGTGCCATCAAGTTGACTGTGACCCTATGAACAACAGATCTGAACCTTGTCCTGTCCTGCTCCATCTTCATGACCTCTGTTCTGTTTAAGCCCATTGTGGTCGTCACTGTGACAGGCCATCTGGTTGAGGGTCTTCCTCTCTTTCTTTCTCTGACCTTCTGCATTTCCCAGCATGATGTGTCTCTCCAAAGACTGGTTTCTCCTGAGAATATGCCCGAAGTGAGTGAGACAGTGTCACCATACTACCTCTAAGGAGCAGAGCACCCTGGTCACACTTCCCTCAAGACAGATTTGTTTGTTCTTCTGGAATTCCATGGGACAATCAATACTCTTCACCAACACCACAATTCAAAGGCATTGATTCTTCCTCTGTCATCCCTATTCATTATTCTAAATTATATCATTATATAATCTTCAAACTACTAAAAATTAAAGCCTGGCTAAGTTGACATGTATTTTGGGAGCACACCCTCTGTTCTTAAGGTCCCCAAATTCATGTCCTTGCTACATGCAAAACACCTTTCCCATCATATAATTTCAAAACTCTTAAATAAATTTAAACTCACAGTTTAAATTCCATTATGAGACCAAATCTCCCTTAATTGTCAAATCCTGCTTCAGGGGCATAACAGTGGAATAGGCACAAGGTAGACATTCCCCTAACAGATGGAGAGATTGAAGGAAAGAAGGAATGGTGGGCACCAAACAAGTGAAAACATAGTCGAATGATTTCCTTCAGCTGTCAAGTCTTGGAAATAATCCTCTGCTCCTAGAGAGTGTGGTTGGTCTAGTGGTAATGAATTGTACTACTAATCAAAGTGGTTCAAATCCAACCAGCCTCTCCACGGGAGAAAGATAGGCAGTCTCCTCCCATGTAATTAACTGCCTCTGAAAACCCACTGGAGAGTTGACTATGGGTTGGTTCTGATTCAATGATATATAATAACAACTGATGCCATGTTGGCAGTGGCCCCACTCTGTAGACTAGGTGTTGGCCACACTCTCTGGATTCTAGGGGGAAGCTCCTTGGTCCTGGGCTTCAGCTCTGCCTTTCAGACCCATTTAGATGGCAATTTCCCCCCCCCCGTTTTGGACAGCCCTATTCTACTCTAACTGAACAGTGACCCTGCCCGCTCCCCCAAACCCCAGTCCCCTTTCCTTTGGCGTGGCTGTCCAGACTCCTCAGCTTTGGGCAGCAGATCCAGCCCCATTCCCGGTCCTTGTGAATGCAGCCCACACTCTGGAACCGCGCTGGTGAAGATGTGATTCTGATACCTGGGAGGCTGTGGACCCACCTGTGCTCCCACCCTTTGCAACTCCAGAGACCAAGGCAGCTCTGTTTCCCAAGCTCCTTGTTCCTTCAGCTCATATTTCCTGGTTCTTTGGCTTTTCAGAAACTCAAGCCTCTTGGGCCAGCCTGGCCTCTGTCTGGCTTGGCAAGTGTTACAGAGCTCTTTAGCTCTGCCCATAAGTGTCTGGAGACACCCAACTCCATCAGATGCTGTGGCATTGGTTCCAACTCATAGCAACCCTTCATACAACAGAACAAAACACTGCCTGGTCCTGTGTCTTCCTTACAGTCGTCGCTATGCTTGAGCCTGTTGGTGCAGAAATGAATCAGTCAGTGTCACTGAGGGTCTCCCCTTTTCCACTGATCTTCACCTTTCCAAGCATAATGTCCTTCTCCAGAGTGGTAGCCTAATGGCAACGAGCTGTGTTGTAATCGCAAAGGCACACGGTTCAAAACCACCAGCTGCTCTATGGAAGAAGGATGGGCAGTCTCCTCCCATGCAATTAATTGTCTCTGAAAACTCACCAGAGGGTCAGCTGTGGGTCAGTTCCAACTGGAAAGTACACAACAACAACAATGACGTACCTAAGATGAAGTCCCACCATCCTCTCTTCTAAGGAGTATTCTGGCCACACTTCTAAAGATATCTATCCTTTTGGCTCTTGTTGTTGTTACATGCTGAGGAGTTGCCTGCGACTCATAGTGACTCCATGTACCATAGCTCTGAGCCCTGTTCTATCCTGAGCCAGTCTCACTGTCTTCGACATATTTACCCTCATTACACCAGCCACTGTGTCAATCTATCTCTTCCAGGATCTTCCTCTCCCACACTGCATGGTGTCTTTCTCCAAGGACTAGTCCCTCCTGGACACATGCCCAAAGTGAGATAAACCTTCACAATTCTTACTTCCAAGGAGCAGCTTAGTTTCACCCTCCCAGAATAGACCTGTTTGTTCTCCTGGTGGTCCAAGGTACGTTCAATACTCTTCTCAAGTACCACAACTCAAAGGCATTGACTCTTCTTCTGTCATCCTTAGTCATTGTCCTTCGCTCTCCTGTGCATAGCAAGTAATTGCCAAGACCATGGCCTGAATCAGGTGCACCTTAGTCTCTAGACTGCACTCTGGAGAGGTCCCTGACAGCACATTTCCCTAATATAGTTCGTCATTTGATTTCCTGACTGCTGGTGTCAAGAATGTGTATTGTGGACCCGAGCAGCTGAAATTGTTAACAACATTAATCTCTTCTCCATCTATCATGGTGCTGCCAATTGGCCCATTGGTGAGAATCTTTGTCTTTTTTATGTTCAGTTTCAATCCATATTGAAGGTCTTTGACCTTGGCAGAAACACCATTAAATAGTATATTTAATATTCTTTACAACACCATAATTCAAGTTGTCTGGGTTTTTTAGGCCTATCTTCCACCACCACCCCCCACCCCCGCTTTTTTCAGGCCTTTCTTATTCATTTTACCACTTTCACATGCATATGAAGTAATTTAAAATATCCTATTGGGGGGGCATACTTTAGTTGTCAGACTTCTATCTATGCTTTTAAACAGGTTGGTTGGTTTGTTTTCTTTTAATTGATATTTTAACTAAAGTTTACAGAAAAGCTGGATTTATATTTTATTCATTGTTGCACATTTACCTCCCACCCCCCCACTCTACCCACCACCCCTGCTTTTGAACAATTTAAAGAAATAATTTACAGCATATTTGTGAAATGTAAATCTGAATTTCTTTTAATTTTATTATTATTAATTTTAATGAAAATTTACGAGGACTTTGGATTTCCATTCATTCATTGTTGCACTTTTCTCCCTGCCTTAACCCTCCCCCACCCCACCCCTGCCCAGGACATTCTTCTCTTTGAAAAGTAAAAGAAAAATTCTTTCACTGTTTTACAATCCCTCCCCCTAGATCCACTCTACTATGCAGCCTTCGTTCTGGACGCCTGTCATGACAATAAGAACTAGTCACATATCCCTTTTAAACAGTCTACTCCCTCATCTGTGTCAATGCAGTATACATTATTTATCCCATCTTTCTGAGTCTCCTCCCAACTCTGATGTCAGTCCTGGTTTACAACAATGGCACTATACAGTATTTGTCCCTGTGTGATTGAGATATTTCACTCAGCATAATGTCCTCCAGGGTCACCTATTTTGAATAATATTGCATGAGTTCCTTGTTTTTCAATGCAGCGTAGTATTCCATTGTGTGAATATACCACAGCTTCTCTATCCATTCATCTGTTGATGGGCACTTAGGTTATTTCCAACTCACTCCTTGCTACTGTGAACAAAGTCGTGATATACATGGGTGTGCATATATCTGCTTGGGTTGCAGTTATGGTCTCTTTGGGATATATTCCCAGTAGTGGAATTGCTGGGTCAGATGGTATTGCTATTTGCACCTTTTTGAGAAAGCGCCACACTGCCTTCCACCGTTTTACACTCCTGCCAACAGTGAGTAAGGATCCCAGTTTCTCCACAACCTCGCCTAAATCTGAATTCTTGACTGCTGCTTCCACAGGCATTGATTGTGGGTCCAAGTGAAGTGAACTCCTTGACAACTTCACTGTTTTCTTCAGTTATCATAATGCTGGCAGTTGATGTAGAATGTTGAAGTGTGAGCCGTAATGAAGGCTGTAGTCTTTTTGTTTTTTATTTGTGTGTGTGTGTGTGTGTGTGTGTGTGTGTGTGTGTGTGTGTACTGTCAAATCAGATCTGACTGGTACAGGAGGAGATTGTCTCTCCTTCCCTGGCAAAGCATCTGGTGTATTTGAACCGTTCGCCTCTGGGATTGTAGTTGCAGCTCCTTGCCACTAGGCCATCAGAGCTCCCCAAGGCTGTAGTCTTTGATCATCTGTAAGTGCTTCAAGTCCTCTTCCCTTTGAAGCAATGTTATGTCATGTGCATATCTCGGATTGTTAATGAGTCATCCTCCAATCCTGATGCTGCATCCCTCTTCATATAGCCCAGCTTCTCAGATTATTTGCTCAGTATACAGATTGATAAAATAAGTAGAAAGGATACAACTCAGATGAGCACCTAACAGTGACTTCGAGATAATATAGGCTTTTTTGTTGTTATGAACTGTCAAGTCAGAACCGACTCATAGCTGATCCTGCAGTGTGTTTTCAGAGACAGGAGGAGATTGCCCATCTCTCTTCCACAGAGCAACTGGTAAATTCGAACCATGTGCCTTTGGATTAGCAGCGCAACACACCTTAAAATTCCTCCAACTTCTACTCATTACCTAATTCCAGACTGCTTCAAACTTCTGAATAGATAAGTATCTGCCTTTTCCCAGTATCAAATTCTGTCTTAGTTACCTGGTACAGCTATAAAGAAATATGATGAGTGAATGGCATTTAGTAGCCCTTGTCTCTTTCAACAGCTGCACATCTGGCATCCTAATTCTAAGGGTGTTTCGCACTCCATATGTGGACATTATTATGCCAAATATCGGCCTTTGAATCAGTTGTAAAGTTAGTGATTTTTCCGTCTAAATTCAAAAAGGAAACCCAAGGACTAATGTAACTTTTCCACTCCTCAGTTAACCTTGACCGCAAAACAATGACTCACACAGCAGTGAGCCCTGCCCAGCTGGGAAACGTAGGACTGAGTGAAGGCACAGGGGGCCACTCCTTGTTGGAAATGAACCAGAAAGCCATGGCCCCAAGCCAGCCAGCTGCCGTTTCAAACACAGAGAAGAGGAATCATTCCACCTCTCGGGGACCAGAGAGTCAAGGCCATCCTGTTTTACCAGGTAAGCCCCCGGCTCTCGGAGCTCTTTTCCAAGAGGAGCCTCATTCCTGTAGCTGTTGTTTTGTTACATGCTGCCAAGTCGCCTGTGACTTATAGCACCTCTATGTACAATGGCTCGGAACCCTGCCCTATCCTGAGCCAATCTCACTATCTCTGCCACACCTGCCCCCATTACTCCAGTTACTGTATCAATCCATCTCATCTGGGGTCTTTCTCTCCTGCGCTGTCCCTCCACCCTTTTAAGCATGTTCTTCTCCAAGGACTGGGTCCCTCCTGGCAACATGCCTAAAGTATGTGAAATAGAACTTCAAAATCCTTGCCTCCAAGAAGAAACTTGGTTTCCCCCTCTCCAGATCAGACCTATTTATTCTCTTGGCAGTCCATGTTATGTCCAATGCTGTTCTTCAGCATCACAGCCAAAGGTATCAATTCTTCTTCTGTCATCCTTAGTCATTGACCAGCTCTCTGGGTGTGTAGTAAGTAACTGTGAAGACTATGGCCTGGATCAAGCACACCTTAGTCTCTAGAGTAACATTTTTGCTCTTTAGTACTCTTGAGAGGTCCTTGACAGCAGATTTTCTCAGTGTAATTCATCTTTTGATTTCCTGACTGCTGATGTCAGGAGTGTTGACTGTGGACCCAAGCAAGCTGAAGCTGTTAACAACCTCAATATCTTCTTAATCTATCATGGTGCTACCAATTAAAATTAAGTTTTGATTTGAAGAAACATCAATTTTGATCAAGTCAGCTATAACTCTTGGCATATGTTAAACAGGTCTCCATGGGGTTTTTAATGGCTGATTTCTCAGAAGTAGATCATTAAGCATTTCTTCCAAGGTTCCTTAAGGGAATTTGAACTGCCAACCTTTTTTGTTAGCAGTTCACAATTTGCACTACCCAGGGATTTCACATTTGAAGAGTGTTAAGGAAACATCTTAAGAGAAAGAAGATAATTACAATAGATGTTTTGACAAACAAAGAAAAATAAATGTGACATTTGCACTGTCTAGAGGAGCAGAACCTCTACTGAACACATTCAGGTATACATGCTCTCACACCTCTCCAGCAGTTGAGATCAAACAGCACCGCTGAGGGCTGGGGAGGAAATGAGCAGCCTCTTTTCCATACTATTTACCTACACCCTGAAATCCAGTGAGGAGTCAACTCTGAGTCCATTCTGAATCCCTGGCTTTGAGTGTTTGAGTGTAAGATACCAGCTTTTGATCCATTTCTTGTTGATATTGCCACCTAGTGGGAACGTCCATCATGACAGCCAAACCTGGGGATTGATTTTATTCCCTTGTCTCCCTAAAGGTTTGTATGGAGAAAACAATCCTTGAGTGATGCAGACAGAGAACACTGCGTTATAAACTGAAAGGTTGCAGGCTTGCATGTGTACAGAGGTGATTTACAAGAAAGGCTATTGATCTTCTAAAAAAAAATCAGCCATGAGTCAAGATCTACTTGTCATAGCGGGTTTGATTTCATGAAAGAAATGTTGTTGTTGTT